AAAATAAGAACAAAATTGATGTCTTTTTATAGTTCTTAGTATCATCGATCACATATGATAATATAGAATTATAGTTTACGTATGTTCATAGTGATTTATTTATTATCATATCATTTTTACTATACTTACAACAACATTTTACGTTGTTGATTTCATGACAAATGAGCCAATTTATGAAGAAAAATTTAGCATCCAGGCCACCAAACAAATTATCTGTACACTAAACTGCTATCCTACTTAGTGCATAATATTTAGCCACATCATCAGTTAAGTCCTACTTAGGCAAGTAGCATACATATAATACATAAATGAACAAAAATTTGGTTACTAAGTAAAATTTACAAAAATAAATAATTATTCCTACTACTAAGTAGCATTTTAGTTTCTTAAATAAATAATGTTTTTTGTTCCGGGTTGGGCTTAAATTTTAGAACCCGAATTAAAGTCCAAGTTTTGGGCTTGAGCCGGGTATTTAACACGGACCTGTCATCTTTAAGATATAACCCGAAAGTATTACTCTCCAGATTTTATCACCATTGAATTTAAAAGCCGAATATAAAGTTTTAAGGGACGGATGTAGCAATAGTCTAAATTCTTTATGTTGAAAAGCAACGTATTTTATCTTGAAAACATAAGAAATGTACCATAATTTATGAATAGTAATTAGACTCGGTGAATACTAAGTATAGATAATATAGTTGGGGTGGGATCGAGTCAAGTTCGGTCGGGTTATGGCTAGGACCGTAAAAACAGTAATTTTTCGGGTTCTTCATTTTTGTGCCCGTTCGGAGGATCAATACGCTCAGGCTTGTTTGAGTTTTAATGGCCTCTAGTTTGGGTTGGGTTAGAGTCGGGTGGTGTTGAATGGGTCGGTTATCGAGTTTTAGGTTAGTTTTTTCCCACCCCTAAATATAGATGTTTCGAGATCAGGCAAAAAAAAAAAGTTCTTACCAGGGTGAACTTAAACGAATCATAACACAAATTATGGGATGAAATGAATCATTATGTCTTGTATTCTACCTGTGGAAAAAATAGTATGATTTAAATTGAACATAACATTACCTCGGTAGGATGTAGATTGGGGCAAATATGAAAGTCCAGAACTCCACACTTGGGGGTGGATTAAAAACATCCTACATGTGGACAGTAATATCCAAGTAACATATACAATACTATATAATACATAACAATAACAAAAAAGCATACAAAGAATAGCATAGTAAGCCATTTGTCTGAAACTATTTACTACTATATAATAGAAGAACGATGTATTTGTAAGTATGATAGAGGTTTTCATATGACCTTACCATTTGAACATATCCGGGAAATGAAATTAATAAAACAACACAGTACCTTTGTACATGGAGTGAAGTATGAAATTGGAGAACATCAAATACTGAGCAAGTTTAAAAACATCCTACAGCAAATCTAGAATCAAGAATAGGAAAATAAAGTTGAATTTGAGCTGAAATGTAAAGATGAAAGGAAAAGTAGTTGTCCTTTTATAGTACTTAGTAAGGGCAGATAATACGGAATTACTGCATATTATTATTATTATTTAATATATAATATATAATATTATTTAATGTATATTACTCATTGATTTCATTTCACTTCATATATCATATATCATATCATATATATCATAATAATACGCAAATCAGTTTGTGATTATATTATTGATAGTCCGTAATTAATTTGAGTGACCATAAAAGTGGCGTTGATATGATGAATATGATGTTTTATTGTTTTGGAAACAATCACCGAACATGATTCTTTGGTTGTTGCTATGACACTCACAAAATCTGTACCAATTCCATATACTCTGTATTCCATATAAGCTTTCTCCTGACAAAGTTCCTATAATTCAGCCTCACCATAATAAATAGTTTATCATTATTTAACATCATTATTTAGTATTATTTAGCAATTACCATGAGTGATTGTGAAAAAGTAACGTACATAGGTATTGATGGTACAATTAAAGAATTTTGATAATTAAGAGATATATTTGACAAAAATAATACTACGTACTACTTTGATCCCTTTAACTTCGATTAAGAGGGAAAAGTGTGGTTATTATAAAAAGTGTCACCGATATTGAATTGGTAAAGTGTAAATAAATTATCAAGATAAGTTTGATAAGGTCAGAGTTATTTTTATGGTTGAATTGTTGGAATTTAGGATGTTTTTACTTGAACCGAAATTTGCTTGTTTGGTCTGGTCTGGGTTGTTTAACTCTGGTATGGTCTGGTCTGAACTGGCGTGGTATAGTAAATGCTTGATCTTTGTGTATTTTATAACTATGGAAGTCCGGTCTTGTCTGTTTAAGACCGGTCTGATCTGTTTAAGTTTGATTGATTTTGTCTATATTTCATATAATTATTTCTTTATTTTTTGCCTCAAAATTATTTTAACCGTATGTTTTGTATACCTTAGCAGGTTCAACCAATTTACCGCTTCATCTGCTTAAGCCGATTAAGCCAATTTTACTATTACCGAATGGGTTATTATAAGTAAAATATCATGAACATTTTAATTTTTAATAATATTTTAAATTGTAAATGTTATTTATTTTTGTGCAAGTAACCAAAATTCTTGAAAGAAATGGTAGACCGATAAATCTATTTTTAAATTGTAGGCCTGAAAATTTTTGCAATGTAATTTTAATTTTTAAAATTGTAAATGTTTTTAATTTGACTGAAATTTTGTGATATGTTTAAATCCGATTTTGTTATAACTGTTAAAGTCTGATGAAGAATCATACCGCATCTACTTGGTAAGGGCAGATAACACGGAATTACTCCATATTATTTAATGTATATTACTCATTGATTGATTTTATTTCATATATCATATGTATATCATATATATATATCATAATAATAATAATATGCAAATCAGTTTGTGATGATTGATGTTTAATTTAGATGACTATAAAAACGGCGTTGATATGATGAATATGATGTTCTACGGCTTTGGAAACAATTACCATGAACATGATTCTTCGCTTGTTGCTATCACAAAATTTGTACCAATTACATACTCCATATAATCTGCTCTCCTGACATAGTTCCTATCATTCAGCCTCACCAAAAATATAGTTTATCATTATTGAGCATTATTATTTAGTACTACGTATTATTTAGCAATTACCTTGAGTGATTGATGAATAAGTAACGTACATAGGTATTGATTGTACCATTAAAGAATTTTTATAATTAGGAGATATTTGACAAAAATAATACTACCTTGATCTCTTAAAATTTGATTGAGTGGAAAATGCGTTATTAAAAAAAAATGTTACCGTGTACTTGGTATTGAATCGATAAAGTGTGAATAAATTATCAATGAAATTTTGATAAGCTTAGAGTTATTTTTATGGCTAAGTTGTTGGAATTACGGATGTTTTTACTTAAATTAAATTTGCTAGTTTGGTGTGGTCTAGTCTGGTTTCCAGAGTCTGGTCTGGTATGAACTGGTCTAGTAAATGTTTGGTCTTTGTATAATTTAAAACAATGACTGTCTAGTCTGGTCTGTTTAAGTCTAGTCTGGTCTAATCTATTTAAGTTTGATTGATTTCGCCTATATTACCGAACGGGTTCTAATAAATATAATAGGGAAAATAACTTTAACTAATACAAATTATCTTCCGTGAACCAAGAATAATATATACTTTGAGAATAAGTTTTAATAATACCAACTATTTATATATAGATCTAGACCAAAAGTGATATAGAGCACTTTTTACTAAAAATTCAACCATTTAACTCATCAAAAACTTGTATCGAAGTATCTAATTAGTGAATGTATTTCCAAATATCATTTATTTGATGGGTTGTCATTAGCATTTGATGTCTTAAACGATCCTATTTTTTGTCAAAAAATAACTCCGTATTATTTTTGTTTTACATTCAAATAGTTGGTATTATTAAAAATAATTTTCGAAGTTTGTATTATTACAGGTTCATGAATGATAGTTGGTATGATTTAAAGTTATGTTTCCAATAAAATATTATGAACATAATAATTTTTAATTTTTAGAACTGTAAATGTTATTTATTTTTGTTCAAGTTACAAAAATTTGAAAATAATATGGAAGTCCTGTAAGCAGTAAAAATTAAGGAAGTTTTGTACAATAAAGGCCCATTCTTCTTATTATGTGAAACAATGTTGAAATGAAGAATAAAGACTGATATTACTGGCCACACAACAGCCTGTGGTCACCATACACCTTTTTTTTAGTGTTTCGATTTTGTATGTTATCTAAGTCTTAAGCAATACTTTTTCAAAGCATTTCCCTCATACTAAAGAGTGTGAAGTATTGTCCTTCAGCCGCACCAGTACATAATATGGAGTGTCATTATTTATCAACTTATCAAGTAAGCTTCTCAAGCAGATTACGTATATATTGTATATAAGTATGAGAAAATTCTGATAGTAAAGGAAAGATTGATAAAGAAAGCTCATTCAGAGAGCAATAAGAATCAGCAGTTCAGCACCATATATTGTTGGTGATTCTCCACCGGGTTCTGGAAATATTTAATATTAGCAACTTTAATGGTGAGATTCAATTATTCAAAAGTGCAAAGGTAAAAGATGGAATGCCAAGTCATTAGTCTGAAAACTGAAGTTCAAGTCTCAGAGCACTCCTAACGTTTGTTCTTTGGGTAATTCCCATGGAAAATAGAGAATGTCTAAAAGGATCACCCAAGTTTAAGTGTTCATATACTTTTTGCTTAGTTGAGATAGCATGTAATTAATGTATTGGGTAGATGTTCATTACCCAATGGTAACTGAAGTTTGTTTAAAGTAAAACAACGAAATCCAATACTTTATTAGAATAGAGATGTAAATTAAAGAACTAAAAGACACTACGAAAAAGTGTCTGCGGAACAACTATGCTATGAATCAAAATTTATTAATTGAGCAGAATTAATCCTATGAAGTTTTTATAAAGTTGGCAGGAGTCTATTTATGGCATCTCTAGCTTGATGGTCTTTTGTTTTTTGGTAGCAGATCCTTGGGTGGAGCAAACTTCAGAACCTAGATGACCGTCTTCTGAACCTCGCTTTGAAATTGATGAGTGTGGAGTTGGGACATTTTCATTATCAAGGGAGGTTTGAGTCTGAAAATTAAGAGTGACAAAATGAGTTAATCTCACAATTGGGAACCGTTATATTTGTAGCATTTGTCTGAGATTTTGGAAAAGTTAAAGACATACCATGCTTGATTCAACACCTGTTGTGGAGTAGGAAAGAAGCTCAAGATCTTCATCGGAATTATAGGCCTGTTAATTTTAAAATGAGTGTGTTGTTAAGAAATATATAATTGACATGGAATTCCAGAAAAGTAAAAATAAGAAATACACATTGGTTGTGTTTATGTTATGGAAATACCTCAGGCTCCAATCCAATTGTAGTCTTCACCTGCTCCAATTTTTCCTGATCGTCTGAGACCATGGCAATGGAGTAATACATACCACCAGATGAATTATTTTCGTGTGCCTTGTCTATTTTGAACATGAATTCCCTTCCAACCAATTGTTTTATCTCTACCGGAAGGCTCTTTGGGGCTAACCTTTCCTAAACAATTTGTTTATACACCTCACTTATATGTTTAGGTAATCAAGTGCAAGAATATTTTTTAAAAAAATGCTAGTAGAAATATGTAGATGTAATCAAATGTAACTGTTGGTATTATCAACTTCTTATTTCACTAAATGAGTAAGTGAAGTTGTACGTGCAGAAAGTGAAGTTATTTAGAAAAGGATGCTATGGTGTAAACAACATAATTAACAACTACCAAACATTTGTGTTCATGTTTTTTTTAAAGAAGTATACATTAGATTTAAATGGCTATATATATTACATAACTTTAGCATTACATTCAAAGAGAAAACAGACATGAATCATGATATACAAAAAATATACCACATCAAGATGGGCTGTGAAATCTCCTGCCGCCTTTCCTAGGAGACGTTGTGATTCTGAATCCCAGAACATGAATTCAACGTTGGCACAATTATGGCTAACTCGCAACCTCAAGCTGTAGCGCCAAATACCTTTCGAAGTTTGCTTACGACAGTTTACACAATGGAGGTGACCATTGTCTTTGGTGACCTTTTTAAAACATCTAGGTTCATCACAGCCAAGATAAGCCCATGTCTTCCAAGAAATAATCGTACTTATTTGGCCATAAACCCAACATCCACGAACCTTGTATAATAACAAAAGATTGTTACACGTAGGGTATATAAAATACGTGATTATTCTTGTCACAGTTAGATGCATGATGTTTCCAGAGTAAAAATTGGAATATATAACAGTAGGAACTATAAGTTATTAGGAATCAGAAGTTGGAATAATTAATATTGTAACTGTAGGTGTAGTTATTTACTGGAAAACATATAGAACACATCATATAAAATAAGGTCGATAGGAAATCACTCTTCAGAGGTAAAACTTCAGTCACTTGGTCAGACATTCATTTGATTTCAATCTGACATAAGTATATACCATTTGAATTCAATTGTGATGACATACATGTTTATCACATCGACCCATCCATTTTTGAAATAAGCAAAAAGTTTCATGATAGTTTGAAGCGAAAGCCCAAGGAAAAACGATGGTTAAATGAATATGTAAAGATATAAATGAATTAGAATTAGTATAGAAAATTAATAAAGTTACAGAGGTATGTAGATGCGGAATATGTAATAATGTTACCTAATCAAAATTAAAATTGGAATAAGTAATACAGAGTAATAGGAAAACATCATATTGTTACCTCTTTAGAAGATGATAACTCAGAGAGAGGTATGGTCAAACCAATTCCATTCACAGCATCAACCGAGACAACAGAGGATGATGAAGATTGTGTCAAAGGTGATGAAAAAGAGGCTCTCATGCTTAAAAATCTGCATTTATTATAAATTTGCCAACTCTTAAATATAATATAGGGTTGAGGGCAAATTGAATTGGAGTAGTAACATACAAAGATATAGTTTGAATCTGAATAACATATTTATTATCATTATTATTATTATTTAAATGAAATTGACTATAAAAAAGTGGATTTATGAATTGAAAAGTGGGCACATGTTCTTAAAAATCTGCATTAATTGTAATTTTGTTAACTCATGGGAAAAATATAGGTTTGAGTGCATACTGAATTGGAGAAGTAACTAACATACAAAACTTATATACTATTATATACTAAATGTGCAGGACTTTTTTATTATCATCATTTGATTAATAACATATAATAAGATGTGTTGTAACAATATTAAATGAAATAGAAAACAAAAGAAGTAACAGTCTGAATTCATTCCTATTCACATACTATTAAGAATGAAGTAACAATTTACCTGCTTCGAAATAATTCAATCTCAGGTATATGTTCATCCAACAATAACTTTGAAACATAAAAAGAGGTTGCTACCCCTTTAGTGTCATCTGAAGGAAGAAGAATGTAACAAAGTGTAATGATGATACACATGAAGCAAGCATAATTACAAAACACAGATGTACAAAGGAGAAGCAACACACCCCATCTTTTATTTATACGACAAAGTTGCAGTAAGACAATAACCGGATCTGCTCTTGGTGTAGATAAGTATCTGTCAAACTGTCCAACATATTCGTTCCAAAGAGTGCAATTCAGGATTTTATTCCTAAGCACAAAAAAGACCAAATTTATTATTGCAGTCATCAAAGTAGGTATATATGAACTTAAATAAGAATTCATTGTAGTATTTTCTTAACTCTAAATCCCGAAGTTGAAAGCTACACCACGTCGAAGGGCCTTCAGATGCTAAGGGCTTTTTTGGAGGGTCAGTGGGATTATATGCACCAATTATGTCTGTCACAATTAAATTTGAGGATGATGTTAAAGTATTCAATTCAAATGAATGAAGGAATTGAGTCATACAAAAGATCAGTACTCACCGATCAGATCAGGACCATCAACATTAGGAGAATTTAAGACATCGGTGAAGCTTGTGAATTTATAGGTACTTAGAGGAAACAACGGATGTTTATCATCTGGTTGTGCCTTCACCTTTGTAATTTCATTAAAATAAAAGCGATATGGATGTTGTGTTGGTCTCCACTTGCCCACATTCTCTTTGACAGTGAAGTGCATAAAGGCATAAAGTCCTCCCTCTTCAATCTGGTCATTAAACAGTGGAATGTGCTCTTGTGGTACGGTAGCTTGAATTCTTGTACCCTGGAATAAATGGGTTAGCTATTAGTGAATAGGAATCATACTATACCAAGAGAAAATCCATATACAGTGTCTATGTCTAAGGCCATAAAGGTCCACGCTCCAATTGTAGGAAAAATAGTCAAGAAAATCATAGTAAAAAACAATGTGGGTTTGTCAATCTCAACCTATGTGTATCCAGAACCATAATTGGAACCATTAATTATAGACATAAAGTGAACTAAAATTATTGTCAATAATACATACTGACACGTTAAGCATTCTGGAAAATATTAATGTAAAGAAACTTGAGAAAAATGACAAATTTGTTGAAAGTGACCTTAGTTTTTGCCCAGAACCATAATTTAAATGAAATGAATGATTTGAATCCTGAAGATTCAAACCAAAACCTTTAAACCATTTAAAGTTTTAAACTCAAATGTACTCTATCAATTCCAGGTATGAGAATGTTTCTTTGAAACCATGTTAGAAAATTCATAATAACCAAAAATGAACAGCATTCTTAAAGTGGGATGGCTTTACCTTATATGGAAAATCCATAGTTTCAATCAAAATGCATAAGTATTCTTAGTTCGCAGTCAAAAGTAAACTGAATTTAATTCTTATCATTTTCAAAGTAAACAAAATTGTTTTGTTATCAGTGTGATAGTAAACCAAACAAAATGTCCAAACTCCAAAGTAATGATATAGTTTCTCACTCATTCAAAATTGATGGTAGAATCTAAAGAGTAATAATAATTCTAAATAAACATCACCTCCTCATCTATTAGAACCAGCTCAACCGATCTAATGCCCAACTCCCGGTTCTGGAAAGGCATGGACCACTTTCTTGCAACCCTGCAAAAAAATGCAGCTTTCTTCTGCATTTCAAGTTTGACGCCCTTCAAATTAAGCTTCAGAGGGGCCATCGTTTATTTTCTTATGAAAAGAAGAAGTATTAAAGATGAATGGTGTGTGAAAAAGAACCACAGTGAGTGTGTTTAAATATGAAAAAAATGGATTTCATAGATGGTAAGACAAAAAATCAATATCAATATTCAATAATGAATGAATGAATGAATTAAAAAAATGGAAGGATTCGCCCCTATTTGCGTTGGCTCGAGTGAGTACTACGCTGAGAGACCGATTTGCAGGGGTATTTCATAGATGGTAAGGCGAAGAAGATTAATCATACCTTTGGGAGACCGATTTGTGGTGGCTGGATTGAATACTACGCTGGTTGTCAAACAAAAAATGGAAGGATTTGCAGATTGTAAAGCAAAATTGAAACTGCCCAAGCTGATTGTTTGCCCTGAATTTGCGCCTGGAAACGTACGATTGAAGATCCATGTGCGATGAATTTGGGGCTAGAGAAGATGACGTGCGATTGAGGGTGAAAATTAGTAAAACAAAGGGCTTTGTACGTAGATATGTAGAAGTGTTGTAGGTAACCGTCCAGCAGCTCTAATTTGGGTGAGAAGCAATGAATTGAATGAGAGAACCGTCTAGAAGCTCTAATTCGGGTGAGAAGCTGTTAATGAGGGAGAGAGGCGGGAAAAGGCTTTGGGAGAAGGATTTTGCTTTTAGGTATATAGGATAAGACATATTATGAATAAAAAAAGAAACAAGACAAATCATTGCTCAAATTGATGAACGGGAATCTTATCATAGGCTGGTGATAAATAATGTAAACTAGTTATTCCACCAACAATAGTACTACTAACACTACAAAAAAACATGGGCGTAGTCACGGATTTAGTCACGGACTGCAGTGTAAAAATTCCGATAGTACTACTAACACTACAAAAAAACACGGGCGTAGTCACGGATTTAGTCACGGACTGCAGTGTAAAAATTCCGTGACTAAGGTGTTTAGTCACGGTCATCCGCCGTGACTAAATCCGTGTCTTAATTGGCGTGACTAAATGAAGTCACCGCCACATAACCGTGACTAAATTTAGTCACGGATTAGTCACGGTCAACGACCGTGACTATTTTCATGCCGGAAACCCCACTCCGACATGTTAGTCACGGCTTGTGACCGTGACTATAATTTTTTTTTAAAAATAAATATTAGTCACGGCTGTGGGCCATGACTAATTTTTAAAATTTTCAAAATTTTCAAAAGACCGCCCGCGGGTGTAATCTAAAATTTTGAAATTAGTCACGGTTGTCGACCGTGACTAAGTTTTTTTTTAAAAAAAATAAGGTTTTTTATTAAAAACAAATAATAATTTCGAATTAACTGTAGTCACGGATAAGGCCGTGACTACTATTTTTGTTTTGTAAAAAAAAATCCATTTTTTTGAAAGTTGTTTTTAAAAATTACTTTTT